AAATCAACACACAAAAATCATATTTTTGTCTACCAACAATGACCAATGCAAAAATAAAAACCATCCCATTTCCTAAAGCATCAAAAAGGATAAAACACTTGGGAATAAACCTAATAAAGGAGGTAAAAGAACTCTGGTAAACTACTAAACATCACTAAAAGAAATCAAAGAGGATAAAAATAACTGCAAAGACACCCAGGCACTCGTGGTTGGTGAGACTTAGTATTAAAATGTCCGCACCAGCCACAACAATCTACATCTTACAAGATCCCTGCCAAAGTTCTCATGAGATTTTTCACAGAAATAGAAAAACAAATCTCAAAAAGATAAAGAATAAATAAAGAATCTCAAAGGATCCCAAATAGCCAATCTGGAAAAAGAACAGAGTAGGAAGTCTCATTCTTCCTGATTTCAAAGCAATGGTGATCAAATCAACATGGTACTGACATAAAGACAGATACCTATCTGCTTACCTAGGTAGGTAGAGACACACACACACACACACACACACACACACACACACACACACCCCAATTAGATGGAATAGGGAACCCAGAAATACACCAATGCATACATGGCTAAATAATTTTCCACAAAGGTGTCAAGAATATACAATGAGGAAAAGATAGTCCTTTCAACAAATAATTCTGGGAAAACTGGATATTCACATGCAAACAAATAAATTTGGACCCAAACTTCTTACTATTTACAAAAAAAAATAAATAACTCAAAATGGATTGGACTTCAACCAAGGAGCTAAAATTATGAAACTCCTAGAAGACATAGGGGAAAGCTTTAGGCACTGGATTCAGCATCTGTACTTTGGATATGGCTTCAAAAGTCTAGATAAAAAATCAAAAGTGGAGAGATGAGACTATAGCAAATAGAAACTTTTGTATGTCAAAGGAAACAACATAGTGGAAGCTCCACAATCACACTGGAAAAAATATTTGCAGATCTTCTAAAAAGGGTCACTACCCAGAATGTTTAAAGGAATGTTAACAAGGAAAAATCAAATAACCCAGTTAAAAATGGACAAAGGGTTTAAATAAATATTTCTTCAAAGATCACACAGATGGAAAACAAGCACATTAGCTGATGCTCAACATCATACATCATGAAGGAAATGAAAATCAAAACCACAACCAGATGCGACCACATCATTAGAATGACCATCACTAAAAGAAGAAAATAACAAGTACTGGCGAGAAGGCAGAGAAAATGAGCCCTGTGAGCTGCTGGCAGGAATGTGAGCTGGCACAGCCACCATGGAAAATACTACGGCGGTCCCTCAAAAAATCAGAATTGGCACAATAATGACTCATCAACCCCCTTGTAGGTATATAGCCAAAAGAATCCCAACAAATTGTGGAGAGAGAGGTGCTCACTCCAGTTTACCACAGCATCATTCCCAGTAACCAGAGCTGGAAGCAGGCCAACAGATGAACTGACTCGAAAATGCGGCTCAAACACACAATGAACATCATGCGGCTCCAGAACAGAAGTCCTCCCTGCCACATGCTGCAACAAGTGACTCCACTAGTATGGAGCACCTAGAACCATCAAAGTCACAGAAACACGGGTAGCAGGAGGTGACTAGGAACATGGGGGAGGGACAGTAACTGATGTTTTTGGATAGAGTCTCTGTAGGCTTTGCAAGGTGAAAAGGTCCTAGAAATCTGTTGCACAACAATGTAAAGCACTTCACACTACCGATCTGTACTCTCAGGAAAGGTGCAGATGGTCAATTTAACGTTATGTGTTTTTGCCACAGACTAAAAGGGGCTGTATTAAACGGTATAAGCATAAGCACAAACCGTAAAGAACGACAGCCTGGCAGCAGGCAACCAACGCAAGCTCACAGCTGCCACTGTCAACATAGCTTACTCACCGCTCCTCAGGAAACATTGTCTTACTACTCTCTCTCTCATCCCCATCCTATCCTTAATTTCTTAAATAATTATTCTTCCTAGGCTCCACCAAAAAAAAAAAAAAAAGGCATTAAGTTTCCATTAATTCTCTCCTAGGAGCTAAACTGAAAAAAAAATAAACTTTAAAAGCAACATAAGGACACTTTAAAGTTCCCTACATCAAGTTCTTAACTGTAATGTACAATGTATACATTGGCCACAGAACAAAATAGCCTATCATTAAGGAGAATTAGATTTGAAGAAATAAGAGCTTCCTAGAATTCTTTGCTATTGCCTACCAGGTTAACAAACCCCACAACAGTGCAGG